TACTCTATCATGGAATTTTTAAGAGATTATTTTCAAGGGTCTTATAAGATTTTTCATTTTAGAAATAAAGCAGATGAATTTTTATCTAAAAACATCTTACTAAAAGTAGAAGCTAATACAATATGACATTTCTATATAATAATCTTCAAATCAAGTTCCCAAGAAGAGCAAGCCATTATTAAAGTATATATTTTACAATAATAATTTGGAACCTACAAAACATAAATACATCACAACTATTTTATGGGAAAATTATTCATACAGAATAAGGATACCTTTTAAATTTAGTGATTTATAGTTGTCAGATGAGTTTTCCTAATTATACCCATTCATAAGCACTCATATTTTACTTTAAAGAGCACTAAAGCATTTTTAAACCAAAAAATGAGTTAGTGAGGGCTTATATTTCATGTAACAGTGCTATTACAATAAGGCACCACTTGGTATAAGAAAAGGCGAAAATATTTCCAAATCATGTACAGTATTTTTGTCACTGGTGTCATAATCATTAGGATGATTAGAAAAAAGTTAATACTATTAAGTGATCATATTAAACTCATTTCCATCCTTCTGGGCTTTCAGTTTTCCCATATAACTGAAATAAAAATAACAATGTGGTACAGAATCTATTAAATAAACATTTTTACCAACCCAAGAAAATAATCTGGAAATAAGCATAAGAAACCAAAACTGTATCCATTTGCAACAGTCTATCCCTGAAGAAGAGTACGGGCAGGGGAGGAGGAGGCAGGACCTACTTCCTACAGACTCTAGTGAGGCACAGAGGTTCAGTTTCTCAGGCAAAGTCATGGCTCGAGTGGAATTGAGAGTGCTTAGACATTCCCCCCAAACTGAATTCTCAGTCACACCTGAACAATATTTCCAAACATTCCTCAGTCACTGCTGTCCTCTTCATCATCATCAGATACATCGTTTAAAGGAGACTTCACCGACTGGCTGTAGGAGTCCGACCAGGCGGGCTGGCATGCCGCCATGTCCCCAGTGGAAATTAGGTCATAGCAGAAGTCACAAATCCGCACAGGCTTAGAGGACTGGCTGGGTTGAAGAAATCCCTTTTCAGAACAGGGCCCACATACAACAAAGCCACATTTGCGGCAATGATGGCGACGAGTAACAGGTGTGAATTTTACTTTCTGACAGCGCATACACACAGTGGCCTCCGAGTCAGGAACCCAGACAGCAGCATGCTCATTAACAGGTGTCTTCCCACTTTTGGAGAGTAAATCAGTGACACATTTATTTATATGATTCATCCATTCTGATTTCTCAGTGGCAGTGGCAGCATAGACTGCAAACGATTTGGTCGGTGTCTTAATAAGCCATCCATTCCTTAAATCACCCTCATCTTTGATGGAATCAATAGTAACATTTTCCAAAGGAATAATATGTTGTTTGTTGTATTTTTTCTTCTGGATGACAATATTGCCATACACAAGAATATCATTGAATAAGAAAAACTGCCTTGCTTTAGGCTTCTTTCTGCACAATTTAGTCAAGACTCCTTCTCCAATAAGAACTCGTCCAGGTATAGTTAAGGGCTGACCAGCTGCTCCAACACAATTTTCCACTATACCTATACGTCTAGTGTTTGCTTCACTGTTGGCTAATCGATCCAACATCTTTTGCTAATAGCCCGGCCCAGGGCGGGCAGTGGCGGCGGCGCCGAAGGTTATACTGCTCCTCTCGCAGATGTCGGGCGTGGGCTCAGCCCATCAGCCGCCACGGCCTCGCAAGTTGTGTGCGGCCCACGGCCCCGCGCAGCCTGTGGGATCCGGACGCGGTGGGCTGGGGGCTGGCCAGCGCAGCCACTCGCAGGTGACGCCCGCACACCTCTGGTGGAAGCCCACAACGGCCGCCGGGCCGGCCTCTCCCTGCGCGCAACCGGGCCAGCCCCAAAACTACAGAATCTTGTTCTCTCTCCCATTAATTCCTAAGGGCAAAGAGCCACAAATACTTTAGTACACTCCAATGCCCTGAGGATACCTGCAAGTTTCTACTGCATGATTTGTGTTCCTAAGTGTGAGTTTTTAATGCAGAACAGTAAGCTAAGCTCCAGCTTCTTTGGGATGCAGGGCACACCAATGTCTGTTCCTCTATAGAGCGCAACACAGAACTCTGGCTAACACGTCACTTATGTAACTAAAGTACTTCACATTTTCGAGCTATAAAAAGATTGGCAAATCATTCAGTCTCCTAAGAGGAACCATCCCTGAAGTTCATGACTTTCCAGTTCTAGGTGCAGAGAAACTGCAGAAGCTTGTTCTCTCTCCCATTCATTCCTATAGGCAAAGAGGCAAAAACACGTTTCTAGACTCCAGTGCGCTGAGGAGAGCTGCTTGTCTCTACTACATGATATGAGTTTCTAAGTGTGAGTTCGTAATGCAGAAGAGCTAGCTAAGCTGCAGCTACTTTGGGAAGCAGGGCACTCCAATGCCTGTTCCTTTATACAGCACAACACAGAACTCTGGCTAAAACATCACTTTTGTAACTAAAGTACTTCAGAGTTCCGTGCTGTGAAAAGAGTGGGAAATCATTCAGTGTCCTACGAGATATCATCGCTGAAGTTGGTGACTTTCTAGCTGGAGGTGCAGAGAAACTATGGAAGCTTGTTCTCTCTCCCATTCATTCCTATGGGCAAAGAGTCACAAACACGTTTGTAGACTCCAATGCCCTAAGGAGAGTAGCTTGTTTCTACTGCATGATAAGGATTTCTAAGTGTGAGTTCTTAGTGTGAAAGAGCCAGCTATGTTCCAGGTACTTTGGAAAGAAGGGTACTCCAATGCCTATTCTTGTATAGAGCGCAAAACAGAACTGTGACTAAAACGTCACTTTGGTAACTAAAGGAATTCACAGTTCCGCCCTTTGAAAAGAGTGGCAAATCATTCACTCTCCTAATAGAAAGCTTGCGTGCAGTTAGTGACTTTCCAGCTGGAGGTGCAGAGAAACTTCAGAAAATTGTTCTCTCTCCCATTCATTGCTGTGGGCAAAGCGCAACAAACTCGTTTATAGACACCAGTGCCCTGAGAAGAGGTGTTTCTTCCTACTGCGTAATTTGTGTTTCTAAGTGTGACTTCTTAATGGAGAAGAGCCAGCTAAACTCCACCTTCTTTGGGAAGTAGAGCACTCCCATGCCTGTTCCTGTATAGAGCACAACACAGAACTCTGGCTAAAACATCACTTTTGTAACTAAAGTACTTCACAGTTCCACCCTGTGAATAGAGTGGCAAATTGTTCAGTCTCCTAAGAGAAAGCATCAGTGAAGTTGGTGACTTTCCAGCAGGAGGTGCAGAGAAACTGCAGAAGATAGTTGTCTCTCCCATTTCTTCCTATGGGCAAAGCGTCACATACATGTTTGTAGACTCCAATGCCTGAGGTTAGCTCCTTGTTTCTCCTGCATGATTTGTGTTTCTAACTCTGAGTTCTTAATGCAGAAGAGCCAGCTAAGCTCCAGCATCTTTGGGAACCAGGGCACACCAGTGCCTGTTCCTGTATACAAGGCAACACAGAACCCTGGCTAACACGTCACTTTTGTAACTAAAGTACTTCCCAGTTCCGCGCTGTGAAAAGAGTGGCAAATCATTCGGTCTCCTAAGAGAAATCATTCGTGAATTTGGTGACTTTCAAGCTGGAGATGCATAGAAAGTGCAGAATCTTGTTCTCTCACTCAGTCATTCCTATGTGCAAAGAGCCACAAACTCGTTTTTAGACTTCAGTGCCCTGAGGAGAGCTGCTTGTCTCTACTACATGATATGAGTTTCTAAGTGTGAGTTCGTAATGCAGAAGAGCCTGCTAAGCTCCAGCTTCTTTTTCTTAAGCAAGGCACTCTAAGGCATGTTCCTGTATACAGTGCAACACAGAAGTCTGGCTAAAACATAACTTTTGTAACTAAAGTATTTCACAGTTCTGCCCTGTGAAAAGAGTGTCAAATCATTCAGTCACCTTAAGAGAAATCATCCGTGATGTTGGTGACTTTCCAGCTGGAGGTGCAGAGAAACTGGAAACCTTGTTCTCTCTCCTTTTCATTTCCATGGGCAAACAGCCACAAACACGTTTGTACAATCCAGTGCCCTGAGGAGAGAAGTTTGTTTCTTCCGCATGATTTGTGTTTGTAAGTGCGACTTCCTAATACAGAAGAGCCAATTCAGCTCCATCTTCTTTGGGAAACATGGCACTCCCATGCCTGTTACTCTATACAGCGCAATACAGAAATCTGGCTAAAACGTCAATTTTGTAACTAAAGTATTTCACGGTTCCACGCTGTGAAAAGAGTGGCAAATCATTCACTCTCCTAGGAGAAAGCATCCGTAAAGATGGTGAATTTCCCGCTGAAGGTGGAGAGAATCTTCAAACGCTAGATCTCTCTCCCTTTCATTCCTAAGGGCAAGCAGCCAATAACACGTTTGCAGACTCCAGTGCCTTGAGGAGAGCTACTAGTCTCCACTGAATGATTCGTGTTTCTAAATGTGAGTTCTTAATATAGAAGAGCCAGCTAAGCTCCAGCTTCTTTGGGAAGCAGGGCAGTCAAATGCCTGCTCATGTAAATGGCGCAACACAGAACTCTGGATGAAACGTCACTTTTGTAACTAAAGTTCTTCCCAGTTCTGCGCCGTGAAAAGAGTGGCAAATCATTTGGTCTACTAAGAGAAAGCATCCATGAAGTTGGTGACTATCCAGCTGCACGTGCAGAGAAACTGGAGAAACTTGTTCTCTCTCCCATTCATTCCTATGTTCAAAGAGAAACAAACACATTTGTAGACTCCAGTGCCATGTGGAAAGCTACTTGTTTCTACTGCATGATTTGTATTTCTATGTGTGAGTTCTTAATACAGAAGAGCTAGCTAAGCTCCAGATTGTTTGGTAAGCATGGCATTCAAATGCCTGTTGCTGTATGCAGCGCAACACAGAATAATGTCTAAAATGTCACTTTTGTTACTAAAGAACTTCACAATTGCTCCGTGTGAAAGGAGTGGCAAATCATTCAAAATCCTATGAGAGCACATCCGTGGAGTTGGTGACTTTCTAGCTGGAAGTGCAGAGAAACTGCAGAAGGTTTTTCGCTCTCCCATTCATTCCTATGCACAAAGAGCCACAAACACGTTTATAGACTCCAGTGCCTTGAGGAGAGCTGCTTGTTTCTACTGCATCATTTGTGTTTCTAAGTGTGAGTTCTTAATGCAGAAGAGCCAGCAAAGCTGCAGCTTCTTTGTTAAGCAGTGCAGTCCAATGCCTGTTTCTGTATAGATTGCAACACAAAACTCTCGCTAAAACGTCACTTTTGTAAATAATGTACTTCACAGTAAAGCGCTGTGAAAAGAGAGGCAAATAATTTCGTCTCCTAAGGGAAAGCATCCTTGAACTTGGAGACTTTCCAGCTGGAGGTGCAGAGAAACTGCAGAAGGTTGTTCTCTCACCCTTTCATTCCTAAGGCAAAGAGCCACAAACTCTTTTGTAGACTCCAGTGCCCTTAGGAGATCTGCTTGTCTCTACAGCATGATTTGTGTTTCTAAATGTGAGTTCTCAATGGAGAAGAGCCAGCTAAGCTCCAGCTTCTTTGGGAAGCAGGGCACTCCCATGCCTGTTCCTGTATACAGCGCAACACAGAACTCTGGCTAAAACTTCACTTTTGTAACTAATGTTCTTCACAGTTCCGCACTGTGAGAAGTGTGGCAAATCATTCATTCTCCTAAGAAAAAGCATCCGTGAAGTTGTTGACTTTCCAGGTGGAAATGCAGAGAAACTGCAAACCTTGTTGTCTCCCCCATTCTTTTCTATGGGCAAAGAGCCACAAACACGTTTGTAGACTCCAGGGCCCTGAGGAGAGCTGCTTGTTTCTACTGCATGATTTGTGTTTCTAAGTGTGAATTCTCATTGCAGATGAGCCAGCTAAGCTCCAGCTTCTTTGGGAAGGAGGGCAATGAAATGCCTTTTCCTGTATACATCGCAATACAGACCTCTTGTTAAATCTTCACTTTTGTAACTAAACTACTTCACAGTTCTGCACTGTGAAAAGAGTGGGAAATAATTCAGTCTCCAAAGTGAAAGCATCCATGAAGTTGTTGACTTTCCAGCTGGAGGTCCTGAGAAACTGCAGAAGATTTTTCATTCCCCATTCATTCTTATTGTCTAAGAGCCACAGACACGTTTGTAGAGTCCAGTGCCCTGAAGAAACCTGCTTCTTTCTACTGCATGAATTTGTTTCTAAGTGTGAGTTCTTAATACAGAAAAGTCAGAAAAGCTGCAGCTTCTTTGGGAAGCAGGGCACTCCAATGCCTTTTCCTGTATAGAGCGCAAGACAGAACAGTCGGTAAAAGGTCACTTTTGTTACTAAAGTACTTCACAGATCCACGCTGTGAAAAGCGTGGCAAATCATTGTCTCCTAAGAGATAGCATCCGTGAAGTTGGTGACTTTCCTCTTAGAGGTGCAGAGAAAATTCAGAAGGTTGTTCTCTATCAAATTCATTGCTATGTGCATAGAGCCACAAACATTTTTGTATACTCCAGTGCCCTGAGGCGAACTGGTTGTTTCTACTGCATGATTTTTGTTTCTAGGTGTTTGTTTTTAATGCAGAAGAGCCAACTAAGCTCCATCTACTTTGGTACGCAGGGCACTCGAATGCTT